ATCTGGTGTCAGAAAAAGTGGCTTTTCTCTTTATAAGTAAACAAAATGCAAAAAAAGAATGTGAGCAGTTGTGAATCATTATAAGCAGCCAGAGATAGCTAAATCCTAGGGATAACCATTTGTATCCTGTTCCAAAGTATTATTTTATACTTTTCTTTTTCTTTTATTTTGAGACAGAGTCTCACTCTGTCCCTCTGGGTAGAGTACCATTGCATCATAACTCACAGCAACCTCCCTCAAACTCTTGGGCTCAAGAGATCCTTTTGCCTCAGCCTCCCAAGTAGCTGAGACTACAGGTGCCTGCCACACACCTGGCTAATTTTCTATTTTTAGTAGAGAAGGTCCTGTTCTTGCTCAGGCTGGTCTTGAACTCCCAAGCTCAAGTCCACTGAACTTGGAGTCCCAGAGGGCTAGGATTACAGGCGTGAGCCACCACGTCAGGCATTATTTTATAGTTTGAAAACACTTCGCACTCAGTCCTTGTATATAAAAGTAAAGATGTAATTATAGGGTATATTGTTCCTGTTTGTTTAACAAGAACCTCATTTTAAATTTTGAAGTGACAGCTATGGAATTTTTTAATGATCAACTTCTTTTCTGTTTCTTTATTGCAAAACTAAGTTAAAAATACAAGATTAATGAGGGGGAGAAAGAGATTTTGCAGCACTATTTACATACAATTGCAAAGATGTGGAATTAACCTGGGAGCCCATCAGTTCACGAATGGATTAACAAAATGTGGTATATGTACACCATGGAGTACTACTCAGCCATAATAAAGGATGAGGTAATGCCTTTTGCAACAGTTTAGCTAGAACTAGAGACCATTATCCTAAGTGAAGTATCTGAAGAATGAAAAAACAAACACCACATATATTCTGTAATAATTTGGAAATAGGCCAGGCATGGTGGCTGACGCCTATAATCCTAGCACTCTGGGAGTCTGAAGCCAGTGGATCGCCTGAGCTCATAAGTTCGAGACCAGCCTGAAGCAGAGTGAGACCCCATCTCTAAAAATAGCCAGGCATTATGGTGGGCACCTATAGTTCCAGCTACTCAGGAAGCTGAGGCAAGAGGATCACTTGAGCCCAAGAGTTTGAGGTTGCTGTGAGCTGTGATGCCACAGCACTCTACTGAGGGTGACAAAGTAAGACTTTGTCTCAAAAAAATAAAAATTTTTGGAGGCTGAGTGTGGTGGCTCATGCCTATAATTTTAGCACTCTAGGAGGCTGAGGTGGGTGGATTGCCTGGGCTCATGGGTTTGAGACCAGCCTGAGCAAGAGTGAGACCCTGTCTCTAAAAATAACTGGGCATTGTGGTGGCTGCCTGTAGTCTCAGCTACTTGGGAGACTGAGGCCAGAGAATCACTTTGAGCCCAGTTGGAGGTTGCTGAGAGCTGTGATGCTATTGCACTCTACCAAGGGTGACATAGTGAGACTCTGTCTCAAAAAAAAAAAAAAAAATTAGAACTGGAGCATAATTTACTTGCTCCTTTACCGTGAACATTTGGCTTCAGGAATTCTGTGCTCCTGGGCAGTGCCTCTCTCTCCCCCTGCATCGCTTGGCTCTGCTTCTCTCTTATCTGGGGCAGGGTCTCCAGACAATGTGGACACAGTAGACACCCCCACTCTGGGCTTACATCCCCAAGCTTGGTGGCCTTTTCTCAGGCAAAGAGAATGCCTCTTACAATGAAGCCATCAGGAGTCCTGCCCTGAGTCTTCCCAGAGGGGAGCCAGGGGCTGTGGCCTGGGACAACCATGCTCTGATTGGGAGGTCTGGATCAAATTCCCTCCCCTAAGATGGCGGGAGGGATCGGCTCTATGAGAGCCATGTGGCTGGAAAATAAGGGACCAGTGGAACCTCAAATGTAATAGGGGTGCTGCTATCAGAAATAGGGGTAGGGGACTGCGTGTGGAGGCTCACACCTTTGGGTGGTATAGGTGAGTGATTTGCTTGAGCTCAGGAGTTCAAGACCAGCCTGGGGAAATCAAGGCTCTGTCTCTACTACAGATAGAAAAACTAGCCTGGTCTGATGGGTACCTATAGTCTCAGCTGCTGGGGAGGCTGAAGCAAGAGAATCATTTGAGGCCAAGAGTTTGAAGTTGCTGTGAGCTATGATGCCATGCAGTCTACCCAGGGTGACAGAGTGAGACTGTCTCAAAACAAAACAGAAATAAATAGGGGTAGGAAATGCTGGGCTCACAAAGCAACAGACATCTTATAATGCCATTGCTTTTTTTTTTTTTCCCCAGCTGGCCAGGGAAGCATATGGTTCAGGATGTGGAGAGTGATAATCAAGAGAACTCTTGCTTCTGAGATGGGAACAGAACCTTGCAGGCTGGCACTGGAGGAAGCCAGAGGGCCCTTCAGTGAAGGCAGGAAAAGCCAGGAGGAAGGGCCGGGTGAGGGGACAAGTGGTTTTTACAGGGTAGGTGATTCCTGGTCACTGCAAGATGTCAGTCAGGTTTTATTAAATATGTACTTCCTCCTGTTGTCAGTGGTACTTAGGAGCAAATAAAGAGGAAAAGGGCTTCGACATTTCAAAGTAAGGACACAGAGAACAGGCATTGAGATGGCAGAAGTGACTATGGAAGTGACAGAAACAGCAACCCAGGAAGATGGCCACAGATGGAACCTCGGGATATACTCACAAGATCTGGCGTGTACGAGTACCTGCTGTGTGCCAGACAGTCCTCAGAACATGCACCGCATACTAACTCATACTTTCTCACAACTCTGAGGAAGATCATATTATCACCATCGTTGCAAAGATGAGGAGACAGAGAAACAGAGCCATTAAATGACTTGCTCAAAGACACAGTTTTTGTTTATTTGTTTGTTTGTTTGTTTTTGAGACAGAGCCTCAAGCTGTCCCCCTGGGTAGAGTGCCATAGAATCACAGCTCACAGTAACCTCCAACTCCGGGGCTCAAGTGAGTCTCCTGCCTCCGCTTCCCAAGTAGCTGGGACCACAGGCGCCTGCCACAACGCCTGGCTATTTTTTGGTTGCAGCTGTCATTGTTGTTTGGCGGGCCCAGGCTAGATTTGAACCCGCCAGCTCAGGTGTATGTGGCTGGCGCCTTAGCTACTTGAGCCACAGAAGCCGAGCCAAGACACACAGTTGTTAAGTGGCAGAGGTGGGATTTGAACTGGGGCCCTCTGGTTCTTCTTCTTTATTTTTTTTTAGAGACAGAGTCTCACTTTGTTGCCCTTGGTAGAGTGCAGTGCTGTCACAGCTCACAGCAACCTCCAGCCCTTGGGCTTAAGCAATTCTCTTGCCTCAGCCTCCCAAATAGCTGGGTCTATAGGCACCTGCCATAACGTCCAGCTATTTTTTGTTGCAGTTTGGCTGGGGCCGGGTTCAAACCTGCTACCCTCGGTATATGGGGCTGGCACCCTCCTCAGTGAGCCACAGGCACCATCTGACCCTCTGGTTCTTAATCCTGGCATGGCTATAGCTACTCCCACATGCTTCACATGGGAGTATAGGGGTCTTGGCACTTGAACAGGAGGAAAACTTGCTATAGATCCCCCTTTTTGGTGGCCATGCAGTCATAGGGCTTAGATAGTATCTGTTGGTCCACACGGAGGGAAAGATGGTAGAAAGCTTGAGGGACATTTGGCTGCCCCAAGGTGAGAAGGCTCTGGTAGGGCAATATACTCCCCACACACTGAGGGTGGAAGATCTGCTGCTGGGACAAATACCAGAGGGGAGTTTCTGGCTCATCTGAACCTGTTTTTTCCATTTCTTCTATGCTCAAGATTCCTTTTGGGGAAATGCTGTTCTACATGGACCCTGGGTTGCACGTGGCCAGGACAAGGCATCATGGTCACAGGTGGGCCCTGGCTCACAGTATAGAACGGGTAGGCGCAGAGAGAAACAGACACAGAGAAAGTGAACCAAAGACAGAGGGATGGAGACACAGGGAGATACAGAGAGACAGAAACAGACAGAAACAAATAAAAATCAAGACAGACAGCCAGGCACGGTGGCTCATGCCTGTAATCTCAGTACTCTGGGAGGCAGAGGCAGGTGAATTGGTTGAGCTCAAGAGTTCGAGATCAGCCTGAGCAAGAGCGAGACACTGTCTCTACTAAAAAAAAAAAAACTGAGGCAAGAGGATCTCTTGAGCCCAGGAGTATGAGGTTGCTGTGAGCTATGATGACACCATGGCACTCTATCCATGGTGACAGAGACTGTCTCAAAAAAACAAGAAAGACAAAGAGAAGGCTGGGTGCGGTGGCTCGGTGGCTGATGCTTATAATCCTAGCCTCTGGGAGGCCGAGGCGGGTAGATTGCCTGAACTCACAGGTTCCTAAACAGCCTGAGCAAGTGCGAGACCCCCATCTCTAAAAATAGCTGGGTATTGTGGCAGGCGCCTGTAGTCCCAGCTACTTGGGAGACTGAGACAAGAGAATCGCTTGAGCCCAAGAGTTTGAGGTTACTGTGACTTATGATGTCATAGTACTCTACTGAGAACAACAAAGTGAGACCCTGTTTCAAAAAAAAAAAAAAAACAAAAAGAGACAAGAGAGATGGAGACACAAACAGTGAGGCTGGGAAGAAGAGAGATATGAAGGTGGGGGAGAGAGAAACTGTCAGAGAGAGAAAGAGAAAGCCTAAGAAATACAGAGAGATACAGACCCTCCCCTCCCTGGCCCTCCCCAGACCCACAGGGGCCAGCAGGCAAAAAACGCACCCCCACACTGACCTCCTTCTCAACACTCCCACAGTGGCAGCCGTCTTCCCTCAGCTCTGCCCACCTTCCCTCCTGCTGCTGGCCAAGCCCATTAAGCTGCTACCCTGGCCACAACTGAAGGCCCCACGCCCCAGGGAGGAAACCACTGAAGAGGCGTCCTGCTCCCTGGCACCCCAAACCATCAATTAATATTAACAAGGAAAGGCTCCTCACATCCTAAAGACCCCCAAGGAGGCTCAGATGGAGGGGAGGCTCCACCCCCATGACTCAGGAGGTTTAAGGACCTGGGGCCTGCCTGTGGGCCCAGAGTATCCAGATGGCGTGCAGCAGCAGGAGGGTCACCATCCAGCTTGTGGACGAGGAGACAGGGGCTGGAACCACGGGCTTGCAGCTCTTTCGGGGCCAGAGATACGAGGCAATCAGGGCGACCTGCCTGGATTCTGGGATCCTGTTCCGCGACCCTTATTTCCCTGCTGGCCCTGATGCCCTTGGCTATGACCAGCTGGGGCCGGACTCGGAGAAGGCCAAAGGGGTGAAATGGATGAGGCCCCATGTAAATTGTGGCTGGGGCTGGGACTCTCGGGTCTGAGGGAAGAGGTGCTGGGGGCCTAGATCCTTGGGTTTGAGGGAGGAGGGACTGGGGCCCTGCACCTGCAGGTCTGAGGGAAGAGGGGGGTACTGTGGGGCTGACTCAGCACAGGCTCAGCCATCCAATGGAGGGCAGGAGGGGGCCCTGGCTTCTGACCTCCAGCAGCTCATTCCCTTGCTTTCCTTTGCTGAGACCTGGCCCCTCATCCCCCCCAGGAGTTCTGCACTGAGCCCCAGTTCATCTGTGAAGACATGAGCCGGACAGATGTGTGTCAGGGAAGCCTGGGTGAGACCCCACACACATCTTGAGCCCTTGGATCCAGCAGGTTTCTACTGGGATCCTGACAGCTCCACCCCTCCATTGCCCCTCCATCTTTCCTCTCCCTGTGCTTCAGTCTCCTTTCCATCCTCACCCAATCCCAGCCTTTCCCCCCAGGTAACTGCTGGTTCCTTGCGGCTGCTGCCTCCCTCACTCTCTATCCTCGACTCCTGTGCCGCGTGGTTCCTCCAGGACAGGGCTTCCAAAATGGCTACGCAGGCGTCTTCCACTTCCAGGTATAGCTCAGTTCCTTTGCCCATGCCTTGGTTTCCTCCACAGTGACATGTGGTATGGATTTCAGGCTGACGTTCCTTCCTTGAGGTATAATTCCTGGGCTCAGGGACTGGTACAGCAGGGCCAGGGCTCAAAGGTTGGGGCCCTAGCAGGGCTGGATGTTGGAAGCTGAGTCTCAGCCCTGCACCTTCTCCCACCAGCTCTGGCAGTTTGGCCAATGGGTGGACGTCGTGGTGGACGACAGGCTGCCTGTGCGTGAGGGGAAGCTGATGTTTGTGCGCTCGGAACAGCGGAATGAGTTCTGGGCTCCACTCCTGGAAAAAGCCTATGCCAAGTGAGGACCCCATTCCCCCCAGCTGCCACCCAAGTCCCCGAAGCAGGTCCCAAGCCACATGATACCCCTGGGATACTCTGAAGATCCCAGACCAAGTGACAACCACCATACCCCTAATGTCACAACATCCCCTAAGGACCTTTACATCTTAAATCTCTCTCCATCTAGATTTCATAGAAAACAGTTCTAGAGATCCGTTAAACACCCATAATTCATAAGGGCCCTGCATCTCATATATTAGGCCCTGGAGGCTCCCAATCTAAGATTTATCCCGTCAGGAAATATGTAATCTCAGACAGTCTTTCCTGTTCCATTGAGAAATCTCAAGCAACCCCCCAATATTGGGTATAATCCCTATAAATCTTTACCTTTAAAGATTTAGGACCCTTAAATCTTTTTTTTTTTGAGACGGAGCCTCAAGCTGTCCCCCTGGGTAGAGTGCCATGGCATCACGCTCCCAGCAACCTCCAACTCCTGG